ACCCCGCACAACATGATCTACTCGGCCACCATAATGGTTACCGCCAAAAAAAAAAACGGAGGTAAAAAAAGAAAAACGGTAACCTGGTTGCCCGAGTTCACGAAGTGACTTGGCTTGTTTTACAACGTCTTTGCCATGCGACGAAAACCCAATCCCGATGGCAAACACCGGGGGGGGTGGGGGGTGGGGGAGAACAATGCCGGCGTTCATCGCTGGCTGGAATTTCTTACCGCCTACAAGTACGCTCTCGAGTATCGCAAGGGTTCCGCAAATGGCAACGCTGATTTCCTTTCACGCCTCCCGGTCGCTGCGGCTGAATGCGACCGTTCGGGTCGCAGCCGTCTGACCCCAGCTGAGGATGAGGAGGCGGTATTTTTCATCCGTTCGTGTGGCCCTACCCCTTCCGGTGATCGAGCCGCGGGTATTGGCTTGGGTGGGCTAGTTCCTAATTCCCCGACTTCGGTCTTGGGTGGGTTTGCCCCCTGTACGGCTGACTTCGCTGATTTCCGTCGGCACGGTCCGCGTCTACCGCCATCTCGTCTTCATCGGGCGTTTGGAACGTCGCTTCCTTGTCGCCCAAGATCGCTCCCTTGCCGTCCGAGATGTTCCGCCGTTCGGCACGGTCGCGATTGCGCAATCGACCTCCCATCGTTTGGTCTGGTTCCCGACCCCAGTCTTTCGATCATGTTTAGAGACCGAGCCTCCGTCTGCCGTTCCGGCTCTGGGAAACCCGCGTCGGACCCTCGACCCCACCCAAGCGATCTCCACCAGGACNTCCCATCGTTTGGTCCGGTTCCCTACCTCAGTCTTTCGATGATGTTTTGTCTCTCGAGCCCGAGCCTCCGTCTGCCGTTTCCGGCCCTTGGAAACCCGCGTCGGACCCTCAACCCCACCCAAGCGATCTCTACCAGGACTCTTCGTCGCAAGGCAGTTGTGGCAGGCACGCCACTCCCGCCTGTTGACTATGGTTCTTCTGACGATTAGCCTTCTTTGTCTCCCACGCGGATTTCCGCTCCCTCTCGACCGTTTCGGCGGTCTCCGATGGCGCCTTCGTCGCCGTCGATGACACCAGCCTTGCCCAGTTGGGTTTCGACATCTGGTGCTGGTGGTTTATCCTCCACTCCCTCCGCGCCTCTGGCTCATGGAGCGGAGAGTGCGTCTCCGACGCCTACCACAACTGCGGTTGTTCCTACATGGCAGCCTTCTGCAGCCCCCGGCTCTTGGGAGTCTTCGTCGCGTTTGGTGTCAACCGCTCGCACGAATTCGCCTTTGGCTTCCATTGCTGCTCTATCCTCGGATGGGTTGCAGTCGGCACTTCGCGAATCAGCCCCCTCTTCTATCGAGGCGTCTTTGCATTCTTCGGTGGATCTAGCCTTCTGGGCGTCCATCGAACGTTTCTCGCATGCTGATTGGGCTCGCGAGCAACGTAACGAACCTGTGTTGTTGTTGTTGTTGTTGTTTCTCACATTAGCTCTAAAAAAAAAAAGATTGGGAGCCCGTGGTCTCAAAACCCGGCATACACGACCCCACGAAGAAACAGAAAAAAATAGGGTACAGTGTGTGATGCAGCCATTCGTTTCATCCTTCTGGGTCGATCTTTGGTCCTCCCTTCGGATTTCTTGGACCGTGTTCCCTCCGCTCGTCGACCCTCTCTTTCGGAGATTCGTGACCTGTCTAACAATAGCCGGTTGCATGTTGACGATGATGGTTTGGTCTTGCTTGTTAGCAAGCAAACAGCGACCCCGTCGTCCACGACCACGCGTCCTGGCGGACGTGCTGCTCGCCTTCTTAACGATGAACCCATTCGGATTTATGTTCCCATGCTCATGCGTCCGTGGATCACGCAAGTCTGCCACTGATGCGTCCTATCACCTCGGTGCGGCTCGCACGCTTAGCATGCTGGAACATTTCTACTGGTGGATTGGCATGAGTGGTTGTACAATGTGGTGGGTGCGGCATTGTTTACGATGCCAAGCCCGTAAATCGTCTCGTCAGATTCCTCGGTGGCATACCATGTCCCTTCCTTTGCCTTCGGGCCCTGGTGTGTCGGTGAGTGTTGACTATTTTTGTCTCCTTCCGTTGACACCGCGTGGCAACACATTCATTCTGCTCTTTACAGACCGTATCAGCCGCCGTGCTGATATGTACGCGGTTACGGCTGCAGAACGCACCGCCACAGGCACCGCTGACATCCCTGTCAACAGGTATATCCCTTTGTGGGGTTGCCCGTTGAGTCTTTTGCCTGACAACGGCTCTCAGTTTTGCGCTAAACTGTCCCAAGCCGTGTATGCCCGTCTTGCTATCCGCAAAGTGGCTACTAGCTCGTACCATCCCGATGGAAATGAGGGTGTCGAGCGTGTCAACCACACTATGGCTCCGATGTTGGTTATGGTCGTCAACGAACGACGAGATGATTGGGACATTCATCTCTCACACGTCGCGTTTGTTTACACCAATTCCGTTAGCGCCGCTACCGGTTTAGCGCCCAATGAGGTGCATATGAATCGCTTGCTACGTTTACCGATGACTGTTATTGAGCATCCGTACGCTCGTGGCCACCGAAGCTTGCATCGTGATCAACTCTCGAATATTGCGATGTTGCTGCTGATCGCCAACGTCTTACGACTTGGTGACTTGGTGCGTGAACTGCATTACCTGTCCGTTCCGCGGATAGAGCGGCATAATTCCATTCTATCGGACGCTTTCCATGAGCTTCCTTCTTACACTGTTGGTGGATGGGTTTGGGTGAATAACTTCGAATCTACTATTCGACAAGGCGTTCTTTCGTGCACAGATGATAAGGTTCTCAAAGCCAAGTTATCTCTACTCTGGACTGGCCCCTTCAAAATCTTGGCTGTGGGCCCGTGTACTGACAGCCCTGACGGTCGCCCCTTGACTTCCAAGTTGCTTTAATTGGATCTTCCTTCGGACCTGCCGGGCCAAGACTCGAAACCTCGTGTTTCGGTTGTGCGTTGCAAGCCTTGCGCCAACCCTCATGACACCAATGACCTACCGCGCTTTCTGCCTGTTGGTTTTACTCCGTACGTCCTGAACTCTAACGTGAACAAATCTCCTCCCTACCATGTTATGGAAGACGACGTGTCGACTCCGGCTGAACGTTTAGAGGTTAAGCGAATAAGGTGGCCTCCAGTCCGTCCGTGGCCGTGGGGGCACGATGGTTGTTTCATGTCAGACACATTGGCAAGGCCTTCTGCGCCCTCCTTGGGAGCGTGAGATGGACCTGCAGCACTCCAAGCCGCACATTCAGCGGTACTGGGTAGGTTCGCCCGACCAACATCGCCAAACAAATCGCCGTTACCGTGCGATGCGCATTGGTGCCGCTACCAGGGAGTTGGCGCGTGCTCAAGGTGCGCGAGCTTTGCCTTCGGGCTACTCGCTTTTTTCCCGTTCAACATGGGACCGCTGCTTCGCCAATACTCCTCTACCTGTGGGCGCCTTCTTCTGGTACAAGTCACGAGATGGACTCTGGTGGTTGGGCAAGATTTCTGGACCACCTCTGCCGTCCGACTTCTACGTCGTCCGGTTCTTGGACAATCCTGGACCTGTCAAGCTCGCCCTTCCCGATGTTCGCCACTCTACCGTCGAAACCGCCGTCTCCGGATCCTGGTGCCTCCAAGTACACAGCGGCAGCGCCCTATTCAAGGGTGCTCTTCGCAACAACGACATGTCGCGTGGCGACGTTGTGACCGATTCGTTGTCTGATGACGTCGCGCGCCCACATTAAGATGGCATGCTTGGTTGTTTTTGCCTTCTGTTGCTATTGCAATAGCATTATTTGTTTTCGTTTTCTCGTTTTCTTTCTGTTGGCTTCAACAGTCCGCCAGGTCGAGCTTTCTCTGTTCCCTGCCGAGGTTTTGCCAGCTGTTGTTTGGTGTCACGAACCCTCTTCTTCTTTGCCTCGCTTCCGAAACGTTTGGTTTCCGGCCTTTTTCGTACGTTGTGGTGCTTCTGTACATCTTCGATGTATTTTGTCTCTTCTTCTTAGAGTTTGCGGGCTGAAGGTGTTTCGTGACCTTTGTTGTCGCTCCCACGCTACCCCGTGGTGATTGTTTGGCGTATCTTATCGTTTTGTCGATACAGGCCTTTTTTTCACCGTTCTGACGACGTTCCTTTTTTTTTCCTCGTTCCGACGACGTTCGTTCCTTTTTCGTTGCTCCGGCGACGCTTATTTTGTTCGTTTCTTTCGTGTCCTCTTTTCCCCTTTTTTTTAAGTTCCGACCTGTTAGGGTATTTGTAGTCTTCGCCTGTTGCGGCTCTCCCGTTGGTTTCCTCTCTGTTAGCCCCAGTTCATTACTCCCTGTACCTTCTTTATATAGGTCAAACGATGGTCTTGCGACTCATCGAGCGAGAGGTGTGGGAGGGTGATTTGTGGTATTTTGGAGCTCCACATCCTCGATACTCTCATTTGGGATTGTCGAGTTCCGAGATTTACGTATCTGCGTATGAGAACCTCCAGGGTGGGCTAATGTTATGGGATTTGAATGTGTAGGAAAGTACCAACGGTAGTGCGGGCTAATGCCCAGAGTAAGGTGCGGGAGATGCAGCTCCCCACGGAAGGATAAAGCAGGGGACAGGATCTAGTAGCCCCTGCTTGAGCAGCTGGTCCTGGCCCCATCTTAGACAGTCCTTTACCTTCCCTTGGCAATAGCTACTGCAGCTATTCCACACGAGTTCATGACCAGTGAGTTCGTCTTCACGGGTCTCCCAGTTTGCAACGCGCGCGCATATCCTTTACAATGGGGCAGAGAAGGGCAGACGGTCGTCTGGACGGGGGCGGTTTGTCGACCAACTACCACTACTGCATACAAAAAAGTTAATAAAAAAAAAAGACCGGGGGTGGGCTTTCGTTCTGTAACAACAGCACCCGGCATGCAGGAATGCTGAACCCGCCCCCCGCACCCGAAAAAAAAAAAACAGACCAGGGGATGGGACACGGGAGGGTAGACGGTCGTCTGGACAGGGCGGGTTTCTTGAACCCAACTTCCACCGCAGGAAAGATCCAATGCGTTCCCAACGAAGGCGGCTACCAACAAAATGCCTATCGAAACACGGAGGTGCGCTTCTTGCGCAAGTAGTTCTAAAGGGAATCGGAAAAATACCAAATCCACCCGCCGTGGACCGTTGTCCAAAGCTCACCCTGAACTCCGCACGCATGTCCGTCCATCAGCCTTTAACCTTCTCGCGGGCGCGGGCCTTGTCCAGCTCTCCCTTCCGCGACCCTTCCTCGAACGTCCATTCTTCCCTCCACCTGAAAACAACAGCGAGACGTTTGAACGACGACCTCACACAAGGCACTGCACCATAAGCCAAGAAACCAGCGTCCCCGTAATTGATAAAATAAGCGTGTTCGATAATTCGGGTGGCTCAGTTGTGTGTGATGGGAGTGTAGAGCAGCTCGGCCATGACGGGCCGTAGGGGTAGGTAAAGTCGTACAGACGTGTGGAAAAACGTGTTGTAAACGTGTTGTATTTATCGGGGGCGTGCTTGAGCTCGTCATTCCATCACGGCATCAAGTCACGCATAACGCTCAAACACCCAAAACGAATCTTCATGAATGTCCACCAATCTACCACACTCCCAAGGAAAACATAAAGAAACTTCTTGTTCCTCCATAGTTCGTCACTGCAATACCCGCATATGTATACGCAATATACCACCCGCATGCTATGCTACGAGTATATCCAATAGAAGCCGGCATATTTATTTTACATCACGTCCATCATCATCGTTTACGCGAGTTGAAGCCACCCAGAACGAAGAAGAAAAAAATAAATTGCAAAAGACCGACCACCATCCCGGTAATCCTCTCGTGACCAGAGACCACGGTCGTCTCGTGACCACCAAGCATCGGCAACTACTTTCTAGAAATGTTGAGCAAATATTTGATTACAGTCAACTAACTACTGGTTCGAACAGCTGAGCGAGGAATTTTCACCAGCGAAATTTTTGCAAGAGCACCCACCACTAGAGTAAATATAAAGCTTCGTCCAGTACCACCTGGATGGAGCGATACAATTAACAAGTGCTGACGGGTCATCTCTTGAAATTTTGGGATACCCACGGTTCAATCTCACACTAAGTGATATCACGTTACCAATAGAAGCATTGGTTCTACCGAACCTGGGTCCAGGTAACATGTTGCTAGATAACAGCATCATGGACGCCTTTGGCGCAATTTTAGACTGGTGTGGTGAAGAATTATCTTTCAAGAATTCTGTGCTGAAAATACCCGCAACCCACCGTCGACCACGGGATCAAACATATCAACATGGCAGTGCATCACAAACTTCCGTTGTGACACTTGACCCGTCCCAAGGAGTCGTGCCAGTATATCTTTGTAGGAAGTACTGCATTCCTCTGAAACATGAAATGGCGGTTGATATCGTGACTAGCCACGCCCCAAAGGAGACCACTCCTGCAGTCGTTGAGCCACGAATTATCACGGCCGACGATCGATCTTGAATCATCTGACGATACCCCTTAAGCATTCCGCCACATCGTTGTCGCGCGAACAGTCTGTAACTGGTCGGCAATTGATGAGACAGCGGTGGTCCAGATAGCTAACCCGTCTGATAGACATGTTCACCTGGACCGGGATACGCTTCTAGGTAGGGTGTATTTCTCCAGTTGAAATGGTGTCTGCAAAAACGATAAGCGCCGTCAACGATGATCATCAGACTTTTAGGAAAAAGAGAGATGAGCTGAACAAGGCGATGAAGAAAGCGTTTACGGATACCACATTTTAGCCCCAACAATGCTCACAAGTTCTCGATTTGTGGCCCGTTACAGGAACGTGTTTTCCCTATCGCCGAACGAACTAGGGAAATGCTTGACGACCGAAGCAGAGTTTCCGCTCCAGCCCGGTATAAAACCAGTTGATCGGGCACCGTGCCGTGCAAACCCACGAGCACAAGAAGTAATCGACAAATGTACAGCACAAATGGAAGCTGATGATATCATTGAACAGCGACCTAGTTCATGGGGATCGGCAGTCGCCATTGTAAAAGCCGACGGAACCACTCGATTCTGTGTGGATTATCGCGGTACCACCAGTAAGTTTAATTCGAAAATCGTAGCCTATGCCCGATATTTATGCCCACAAAGATACAGTAGGTGGAGCAAAGTTTATCACTGCGTGTGACGTGCAGAGCGCGTACCACCAGAAACCTGTTGCATGCAGCAGCGGAGCAAGAGAATACCGCCTTTGTAACTCAAAAAAGGAAAATGTGTATTTGAACGCCTCCCTTTTGGAATTGCGAACGCCCCGTTTTTATTTGCTCGCATGGTGTCATTATTAGCATTTATTTGCACATTTTGGACCCCGAAGTGGCCTCCTCGTTTACATGGATGAAATCATTGGCTGTAGTTCGACTTGGGAAAGTCATATAATGTTGTTAGAAAATACATTCCAAGCCCTTCAAGCCGCAGGGCTCACATAAAAACCTTCCAAGGTATAATTCGGACCAGGAGAAGTAAAATATTAGGTCACATTTTGTCTGCGAAAAGCATTCGAATCGGGGACGACCGCATTAAAGCTTTTGTTGACCTGGCCGCCCCTAAAACGATCAAAGAACTCCGTTCAGTTTTAGGCATGAATTTTTTGTGACGGAATTTCTCCCAGGCCTATCCACGGTGTTAGCGCCGTTGGTAGACCTCACTTAATTGAGCACGTCAAATCGATCGCAAAACGTTGGCGAAACGAACATGATGATTCATTTGACACAGTCAAACGACTGCTCACGGAAGCACCAATTTTACACTTTCCCGATTTTACCAAAGACTTCGTCGTCCATGTAGATGCCAGCGACGAAGCAGGTGCTGGAGTTTTCCTTGCGCAGCAAACAGGATCCTGGAGATGATCTCAACACTATTTCATATTTTAGCCAACGAGTCCACCATGCTCAGCGCCACTATTATTCCCCAACGATGAAAGAATGTTACGCAGTCGTAATAAATAGCAGTACAGCACTCAGTACTGGCGGCCCTATTTATGTGGCAGACATTTTGACGTTGTGACGGACCATGCTGCGTTGAGATACTTGTACACCATGCAGGACACTGCAAATGTGCTGACTAGGTGGCCTATTGCTCTGCAGTCGTTTGACTTTACCGTGTGACACAAGCCGGGTAGGTTACACGTTGTTCCGGACACTTTACCTCGGTTGTTTGCTATTAAGTACCTTTAAAGAACAGCCCGCCCGACGGTGGCTTGCCTCCTAGATGTAGTAGATGTAGATTCTGCCGTAGACATTCTTGTCCACGAGCACGTTGAGATGGGAAGGTTGCTTGTTATTGCAGAAGCGGGTCTGCTACAGGTCTGAGGTGAGGCGGATTGCCCTCAACCTGGGGGCACGCAGATAGCTAAGTCCCGATGGGGTACGCCCTAAGAGGGTATACCTCCTGACATCCCCCATCTTAATCGAGACCGACTGTGTACCCTATCTGTGGCATACAGCAACACTCCCTAACACTAGCCCACCCTGAAGATCATCTATACAGATTCTATACTCAAATCCTAAGGCTACTAATAGCTGATGATTTAGGATCATGAATCGAAAGATATGACTCTTCACAAGTGTATCCAAAGGAAAGAGGAGCTGTAGGAATATCCCGACTCGACCCCCCACACCA